GCCGGCGGAGCCGGCGGAGCCGGCGGAGCCGGCGGAGCCGGCGGAACGATCCGGACGAGACCGAAACCATGTGTACCGCCAGCGCTAACGCTGGTGGTACAATTAAGTCTATTTCTGATTATTTAGTGGCTTTGTTAATATCATACAACCTTCTTCAAGCCTAATAACAGAAAGACAACTTTGTCAACAGGGACTGTGTTCACCTTTTTATGGCTTAGTTCTAAACAAAAACACAATTCTCTATATTATATTAAAAAAATTCTCATTTTTCAAAAATCACTGCATAATTAGTATAAGCGTGATTTCTCACCTGCAGCATGGCCTCAATATTGTTTGCATCATGAAATAAATGAATGTTGATCAAATCAAAGATACTGAAAAAGAAAATACATAAATACCATTTGTGCATTGAAAAAAGCCATTAAAAAAACATTCAGTAAACTTAAATTGTTCACTGACCTTTGAAGACTAACAAAGTCAAGAATTTACAAGTCATCACAGGCACATGCCTCAAGGATATATAATTAAATCACTACAGATGAAAAGTTCTGAAAATTTGATTTCAAATTTTATGTCTATTCAATTACCATACCTGCCACAAATATTCCACCTTGTTCTGATAAATCCCTTTCTAGACCAACGACACTGAAATTCAATGACAAAAACTCACAGGTTATTGACACTAAAAAACGTCTACTGATGCCAATCTGGTCATTTATTTCATTATTTTATGTGACTAGGTGAGAGATGGTAAACAACCTTTTTGCTTTTCTGTTTTGTGTGTGTGTGAGTGTGTGTGTTTGTGTGTTGGATAAGGAGAAAAAGATAAGATACCTCTGGAAAATAATTTTGAGGAAACTTGGCCTTTTCTTTAATGGGAACACTTTCAATGTTGCCAGAAAGAACCTGAAATGAAAAAAAAATTTCATGTTTAAACCTGTTAGAAATTCAAAAGAATTTTCATCATAAATCAAATATCATATTTAATATCCATAAAGCCCTAAACAAAATAAGTACCTTAAAAATGTAATGGGGAAGATAATAAAAAAATCAATCATACTTACCTCCCTTCCGACAAAGGGAACAAATTTCTTGGCTGAAATTAAAGCAAGCATTAAATCTGATTACACAATTCTACCTTCAGCAATTGATTACCAATGTTGTTGTTCCAAATATATCTAAAGATTTGAGACTGTATGCTTTGTTTTACAATGGTACTGTAAAATTTCTCTTGAAAACAATTTAAACAACCTATACAAACCGCATGTAAAGAAAATGCCCAAGAAAATAAAACAAAGACAAAAGACAAATAAGACAACATGGAATCCAGGGAAAAAAATGTTAATTTTGCCACAACATTCTAACAGAAAACAAAATGAAATTTTATCCAATTTGGTCAGCTTGCAATACCCCCCTCCCGCTCCCATTTCACCACACCTTTATCTGTGCCATTTCTGTCACATCACTTGTAACACAAATACTTGAAAAAAATGTTCACATCACAACAATTACTAAGGACCTATCACAAAAAAGTGATAAGTGGAGAATTTCAAGGTAACTGTGACCTGGATATCGATGGATCAATTCTGAGAGTGTTATCAAGAGTCTTCCTAAGGATATGCTTATACCATAACACTTATGCTATTGTTTTTCACCTTTTTTTTTTAAGGTTTACACAACTTGTAGCTGTCACATTGACTGAATGAAGCTATATATTACCCATACTTTCATCCAAATAAAATCATAGCTATATAATAAAATCAACTTGTGCAGCCTCCACAGGAGCAGGCCTGGTTATTAAGCATATGCCCCCACACACTTGAGGTTCACATTTCATCTGCTGCTGTGGCTGAAATTGCCGTTTGCAACACAACCACTCCCTCTACAGCTTATCAATAGATCGGGTCTGTTTTCCCTGAGAAGGGATTAACACATCTGGGATTTGTGTTACAATACAAACTAAATAAAATGCCACAAATGTTCTTCTCAGAACACAAACACAACAGCAGTGAAACCAGGATACAGAGCATCAAAATAGGGTAGTCTAAAAGATTCATCTGCAATTATATTTGGCCTTCCAATAATAATAATAACAACAATAGAAGAATATGAAGTATGCTTCTGTGGCTCTGGGAATAACAGGTTTTATTTTTTAAAAATTAGTTTATATCGTATCAATACTTTTACCCTTGTTACACAAGCCACAGTTCGTTCTCCAAGTGTAGCAGGAATTTCAACATAGATTTTCGCTACTTCCATCCAAATGTAAATTCCATAAAAAATACTGCTACAAACCACCATACCTGGGACCTAGACTGCTAGGCTAACTTTCATTTTTTTCTACATTTTGAGTGATCATTTCTTCCGACAGTTACTAGCAAATTATCTCGAAATCTTCATTTTGGCAAATGGATCAAAGTTCAGCCAAGAAACAAGCATGGTTGAGTGGTAGTTTACATGGCATAGATCTAGTTCTAGACATTTCTTGAAATCACCTGGATGATCATATACAGGTGGGAGACTGTGTTTTCAATACTGGAACCTTACAAGGGGGGGAACTTCTTTCCTTAAGGCCGAGATAATGCATGTTCATACCTAGACCAAGGCAGAACTCAGACTGGTATTTTGTCACAATTTATTTCACTATTCAAGTTGGCCCCTAGGGACAAAACCCACTTCCCACTCCACCCCACCCCCACAATTCAGCTCATCTTTCCTCTAAATCTACAGGAACTATTCAAGTAACTTTACCAAGCCACTGTTGCTAACATGAAATATCAAGGAAGTTTAAAGACTGTATGATACCAATTTGCATTAAATAAAAATTCAATTCTACCACATTCCAAGTGACAAGAGAGTAGGAACATATAACCTTAAATTAAGGTCTTTCAGAACAAGAAAACATGAAGCCCTTGTTTACATTGCATTGGGTTCTAACCAGTTCATTAATGATGTATGTTTCAGTGAAAGAAGGAAATGGTGTAGTTGTGGATGTTGGCAGGTACTCACTCACCTTGGAAGTCAAAGACTTCAACAGCAGTCATAGATACGTGGGCGAAATACAAACTTCCCAGAGCCTGCAAAAACATGAAAAGTCAGGTAAGGCNCCACCCCACCCCCACAATTCAGCTCATCTTTCCTCTAAATCTACAGGAACTATTCAAGTAACTTTACCAAGCCACTGTTGCTAACATGAAATATCAAGGAAGTTTAAAGACTGTATGATACCAATTTGCATTAAATAAAAATTCAATTCTACCACATTCCAAGTGACAAGAGAGTAGGAACATATAACCTTAAATTAAGGTCTTTCAGAACAAGAAAACATGAAGCCCTTGTTTACATTGCATTGGGTTCTAACCAGTTCATTAATGATGTATGTTTCAGTGAAAGAAGGAAATGGTGTAGTTGTGGATGTTGGCAGGTACTCACTCACCTTGGAAGTCAAAGACTTCAACAGCAGTCATAGATACGTGGGCGAAATACAAACTTCCCAGAGCCTGCAAAAACATGAAAAGTCAGGTAAGGCTTTATCAGATTCGTAAACATCACAAAATAAGGTCTGCATCCTATTCAGGATTTTTGGATCTTAAAAGCTTATGATAAAATACATAACAAGGATTACTTTTTTAACACTCATTCTATATAGAAAGGGCAAAGTTTATGCAAAGACATTTTAAAGAGCATAATGTTTATTATTTTACAAAAACATCAGTCGACAACAATATTGCAATCTGTGCAATGACATCATCCCATTATTTTTGAAATTAAGAGGATAAAGCACTTAAATAATACAACACTCGCAACCATGTTAACACACTGGTAGTTTAACACTCTCTTACAATCCACTACTATCTAACAGCTGTGTTCTAAACAAATGCAACATAACTTCTGTTGCAAACATATGTGACAACAGAAAATGTTATTGTAACACTTAGTTAACTATAAATAAACATTTCTAGTGCGTAGGTGCTGACACAGATTTTTAACGACATAGGTTATTCACTCATGCTGGTGAAAAGCTGCCATACATTTTGCAGTTTCCGTGGAGGACTTTCTTCTAAGAATGCTTTTTGTCTCATTTTTCACAAGAATATACATTTTTAAAAAATATTTTTCAAGAATATGACATGATTGAATAATTCACATTTTGTTCTGAATGTAATGAGGCAAGGATGATTCATAATGCTATTTGACCGTATCATTCCACAAAAACAACAGACAACATGTATATATGAAGTGCAAACCCACATGCCTTAGCACGTCATAGGAATATTAACCATTAATCCATCAGTGAATGCCAGCCTTTTACTAATGCTCACCGTGAATTTATCAACTGCTGTGAAGTCTTCATCCAGAAACACTCTGGCTTTATCGTAGCACTCCAAATCCTCACTTGCAAGCATGGTTCTGGAAAATATTTAAAAGGACGCTGAGCTTTATCATAATCTCCTTCCATCCAACTTAAACAAAATTCCATTTTTTTTATAAAATTGAAAAATAAACACATATTCTTTATACTGATTCAATTTTTGTATCTGAAGGCAATAAATAAATAAATAAATAAATAAATAAATAAATAAATTAATTAATTAATTAACAACAACAGTGGCTACTTCATGATGTGTCATAGCATTTGGCTGTTATTTGGCTGTGTCTCTACTGTTATGATGCCTCTCTTACTTGATGAAGTGGTTAACATATTGCATGGATTCCTCATAATTCTTGCCCCCAACTTCTTGCATGTGAATAGCTAGGAACATGGGCTGGAGCTTGGTCACAGTCTAGAAAATCAAATATTAATATAATGTTTAACTCCACTTATTATCATAAAACAAAGCATTAGACTGATATAGTGTAGTATAATATATAACTGCAAATCCAGTTTACAAAGGGATAGTTTGTCTGAATTTATGATACATTAACTTTTAAATTGGATATATTCTTAAACTGTGTGATGACAAAATTTGGGTTGTGCTGCAGCATGAAAAAATAATAACAAAAAAAAAAAAAAAAAAAATTAAAAATGAAAAAATGATGGTTTCTTTGGAACATTTAAGTTTGTTGAAATAAAAATAATACTCTTATAGAAAAAAAAAAAGAAAAAAATGTCATTCATTATGATCCAATGACAGCCCAATTACTAGTATAGGAAGAAAAACTTTTAAATGCTATATCTGAAATATGTTGCCTAAGAGCAAGTATGCAGACATGATCTGCATTTTTTTCTCTTTTTCCATCGCCTGTTCAACAGGTAATAAACTTTTAATCAGACCCAAGTTTGTTTCAAGGCATACCTGTATGGTCATGTTAGTTTACCATTAGGTTACATTTGCCCTCTGTAATTGTTATATAGTTATCACCAGAACCATCAGTGAACTTGTTCTCACCTATGGCTTTTCATATAATGCTATCTATCACCTCATCACACTGTTTATCTGATTTTCAAAAACAGAAATCCCAATTCACAACCCAAAAAACATAACAAAACAAAAATGCAGTCAACTTCCAGACTTCCACA